AGGGCCCAATTTGGGGGGTAGGGGTGCTTTTTGAGAAATTTTCTAATGTAAACATGGGTTGTGTGATACATCAATTTAAAGGTCTAATCACCCCGACTATTTTGGTGCAATAAAAATGTAATTATCTTTAATCGTATTTACAGGGTGGGTCAAAACGTTTTAAAAAAGGACTTTGAAGTTAAGTACCGTATTACCCGAACTACTGAACGGAACAGCGCCAAATTTCTTTCCAAGCTTATTCTTGATCTACTCTTTAAGATAACTTGTAAAAGGGCATTTTCCATGTTATTTTCTAATAAAAAAAAAATCTGAAATTTGAAGAATAAAAGAAAGCTGAAAACTCAAAATTCTTAAATAGCAAGGTATAACAAATTTCATACCACGTGAAAGGTCCTTTTTTAACAAACATTTTACGTATTTAAGTTTTCTTTCTATCTCTTACCGTTTAAAAATTGCAGTAGAAAAACTCAATTTTCCATAGTAATATTGTAACTACAGTAGTAGTTTTCTAATAAAACAGCCAAGATTCTTCTCTAGACACATTTAATGGTGCATTAACTGAAGGAAACAATTCATAATTATTGATACCCTGATTGACAAACAAGTCATTGCGTTTTACTTTGTGAAAAACAAGTCTTATAGCTGATGAGGACAACCTACATGTGGGCCGCTTTCTCTAGTACCATTGACTAGTCAATGGTAGTACTAATTTCCAAAAGTACTATTTTTTGTAGTATCTAATCGAATATGGTGTTCACTTAAAAAAATAGACTTTATTTTTACATATTGGACAGAACAAAAGTGTTTCAGGATAACTGCAAAGTGTTTAACAATAAATATCCAGGTAAGACCTTCAGTCATAAAGCTGTAAATGATTTAGTTAAGAAATTTCTGAAACTAGCTCAGTTACCAATGAGAAAAGAACAGGATGAAGGATCCAAGATGAACTGACACAAGTAAAAGTAGTTGATCAATTTGTAATTAATCATAATACATCGTTGAGCAAAGTGCAATGTGTTTTGTTAGAAAACTAGTTATAATTTTACCATAGAAAATTCAGTTTTTCTACTGCAATTTTTAAACGGTAAGAGATAGAAAGAAAACTTAAATACGTAAAATGTTTGTTAAAAAAAGGACCTTTCACGTGGTATGAAATTTGTTATACCTTGCTATTTAAGAATTTTGAGTTTTCAGCTTTCTTTTATTCTTCAAATTTCAGATTTGTAAAAAATTAGAAAATAACACGGAAAATGCCCTTATTACAAGTTATCTTAAAGAGTAGATCAAGAATAAGCTTGGAAAGAAATTTGGCGCTGTTCCGTTCAGTAGTTCGGGTAATACGGTACTTAACTTCAAAGTCCTTTTTTAAAACGTTTTGACCCACCCTGTAAATACGGTTAAAGATAATTACATTTTTATTGCACCAAAATAGTCGGGGTGATTAGACCTTTAAATTGATGTATCACACAACCCATGTTTACATTTGAAAATTTCTCAAAAAGCACCCCTACCCCCCAAATTGGGCCCTTTTGGGACATTTTTTGAAATTGAAAATAATTTTATTGGATTTGGCATGTCCAAATTAGGGGGAAATGAGAACAAACAAGTGTTAAAAGCCTTACCTTTGCACACAACAGATATGGAAAGTTTTCAAATAAACACCCTGTATAAATATATTTAAAGATAGCCTAAGCGTTCAAAAGTCCTATTGTCGCTGCCAGTAGGCCTACAAAAGTTTTACTGCAGAACTCTTTCATAGTACCATCTGTGTTCAGGTGGTACAAACTCTAATAAGTCTTTGATATCTTCTTTTTTTCTGGCTTCAGACTTCCAGTCTTCCTGTTTTTCCTTGGAATTGTGAAATTTGGAGGCACAATAGTTGGAGGCACACTGCTTGAAGTTCCTGTTGCGTTTTCTTGCGTCTCTTGATTTTTGATGCGCTTATAACGCAGGGGTTCCACTTTTTTAAATGGTGTGTTGGGGTCGTAACTTTCTTTAAAAAGATAGCTACCAAATTCATTGACCCTTAACCACTTGATGCCATCCCGAAAGCGGACGTTTTCTTTAAGGAGGTCTTTCTTCCTGTGTACTAATTTTAGGGATTTATCTAAGTCATCCATTTCTCTAAAGTGAGGTTCCATGTCTACAACTTGATTACCTTTGGTCGACTGTAGTATTATGTTTCGATACTGTTCAGGTAAATACAGATTCGGCTGTTTTCGAAGATTCTTTTCAATTCGACCGAAGTCACGATCGGAATCAAGATAAGAGTGACCAACTTCGGGAAATTTATGGTCAATCGTTTTAAAGTAACCCTTTGCAATCATGTATTGATAGAGGCATAACAGCTGGTAATTTTTATTTTGGCCCGAACATGAATCGGACCATAATATAAGATGACTTTTTTCTCGAAGTGTTTCATCTAGTTCAACTGCAGTCAGTAGTGAACTACCAACTTCGGCACTTCCACGATTCGCAACATCTTCAGTCCATGTACAAAATAACCCTCTGCTCACATCTTTAGCGTTAATGTGTAGGCCAAGGTTATAAAACCACATTTGTCTTTTATAAAAGGCTTGTGATGTGGACAAACGAGGTAGTGGCATAGTTTGCTGTAAATCCATTGTAACGTACGCAGTATCAGTCGAAGATTCAGCATTTTCTCTATCAGTTTTTTGAGCAGCAAAGGCAGATGTGTAAAATTCAACGTGTTCTTCTGAACATTGCCCACTGTCACAGGTCTTGCAAGTATCACTCTTGGGATGTCCGAATGATAAATTAAATTCATGATCAAATACAAATCTATACATGGACTCTTTTACAAAATACCTGTCTGGGACTTTGTCAAATTGGCATTTCTCTAAATAAAGATTATGCATTTTAACTACAGATAACAACGGTGACAAATACCTTTTGTTTGGGTTGTTGGCTCTAGAATAGTGAGATTCATCAGAAGGAAAAGAGCCAATATGTTCCATAATATACTGTTTTACATCGGCACCAAGTTTAGTAGGCCTGTTGTTATGCTTGTTTATCTAGATCTGGTGCAGACAAACCTTTCTTAACTTGGTCCTGGATAAGAGCAATTTTTTTCCGGCCAATTTGATAAAGCGACATAAAAGCTGATTTACAAACTGACTCATTATTGCCATCTACTGTAATAGTGTACTTAAAAGATGCAGTTTTATGTTTAATAGCGCCTTTGCTCTTTCGCTTAGGTTGACTCATAGAAATGGATTTAAAAAGCAGAACATTTTTACCATTAACATCATGTTTATAAAAGTCATTAAAAATACTGATTCTCTGATCTTGGTTGATCCGAGCTGAACATTTTAAACGACACTTCTCATTACAAATACTATCCTGCTTAATACATTTGGCAGGAATCACCATACCTTTCCGAGACACATAACTTTCTCCAGATTCTCTTGCTTTTGCAGCAACAACTCGTTTCCAAAGTAATTCATTTTTCTTTCGTTTTCTGGACATTTTATATTTTTTTACTGGTGGTTCTAAATTAGCCTCATCGTCATTACTGGGGCTACTTACCACGCTGGTGTCACTTATATTGTTGCTGTTGCTAGGTCCACATCCTTGTAAATTTATGTTTGTAGGCCTGTTTACTTTTAAAAGGCACCATCTAGGGCTACGGAAAGAACTATAGTCATCATCACTGTCACTGATAATATCTGGGTCAGAGTCTGGAACGCAATCGTAACTCTTATTTACAACACTGCTGTCACTAGGCCTATCAGATTTATTTGAAATGGTTGGTTTACGGGAAGAACTACAGTCACTGGTCTTTATCACTCTTTCTCTATCACTGGTTAGGTCTTCAGAGTCGCTAGAGCTTGAGTCCGGAATGTACTCGTCACTTGAGTGGTCCTTAAAAAGAGAACTAATGGAACTTGATTGGCTGTCCTCTTCATTTTCACCTGAAAGCAAACAAATAGGTTAGGCTAAGTTCATAACAATAAGTGGGCAATATCGGAAACAAAAAGGGCTAGCCTAGTTTCTTCTAGGCATAATGCTTGTTAATGAATCCATCATAACAAAACATGATTTATGTAAAAAATTACTTTATATTGCGTATAAATGATATGCAGAGCTAAGAATCATTAGAATAGTATCAAATTCCAAGCAATGGTAAGCATTTTAATTGCTTTGTTTATTCCCACAAAGCAACACTACAGTTTCTAAACCTAACCTCAAAATTGATGTTAAGTTAATATTGTACTTAGAATGTGTTTTTTGTAATGTTATTGAATTTTTCACATAACACTTACCTTCATCACTCTCTTCCTTTGACTTAAGAGCCAACTGAAGTATTCTTTCACTTCTTTTCATCTTCTTGATGATATAATTAAACTAGTAACAACATTCACATCCCATCAAAATAACGTGTGTGTCTTAGTGGGTTAAGGTGTTAAGACACTGTTCAACTAGAGTGCTCTGGTGGAAGAAGGGGTCATGAGCATGACAGAGCCACATAACACCTTCACCCTCCAAGCAAATGTACATGCTATGCTATGTAGTGTGTATGCTACTTGACCCCTTCACCATTTAGCTGAAGATAAAAATACTTATAGAATTGAGAGGGAGTGAGTGTCATGTGAAATAGTAGCTCATAACACCTTCATCCACATAGAAATCTAGATTTTTATAAAAATGTAACATAACCCCTTCTCCTTCCAAGCCCTTTAATTCATCTAATCCAATGGTACTGGTGAATGGATTTAACAGTTGGTGCACTCTAATCAGCTGATTTCGAAACGCATTGTTGTAGTATAGTTATTGTTCTCATTTCTTTTGTGCGTTAAATGTAAACAAGCTTTTAACTTTGTGGTCGTATAAGAAAACAAACAGAAATGCCAGTGCAATTTTTAAATGAGGAACTGGCTGATATTCACTTGATTTACGGCCTTGCAAACAATAATCGTGCGTTAGATCACCGTTTGTATGCAGAACATTTTCCTAACCGGCGACTTCCCAGTGAAATGATGTTTGTAACGGTGGATGATCGTCTTAGACAACATGGAAGCTTTGGCATTCCGTCTGGTGGTTGGGGCAATCAACGAACAGCAAGAAAGATTGATGGAGAAGATGAAGGGTTGACAGCTGTTGAAGAAGATCCAACAACAAGCACGAGAAGATTAGCGTCTGCTGTTAGGATTAGCCAATTATCGGTTTGGAGAATTTTGAACAACCAGCTGCTTTACCCCTATCATGTTCAACGAGTTCAGGCTCTTTCTGAGCATGACTATCTCAACAGACAACGTTTTTGTGAACAAATAAGAGGTAAATGTGCTAGGAATCTCGGTTTCTTGGCTTCTGTACTTTTTACTGACGAAGCAGGATTTAAATAGAAATGGCATTATGAATTTCCACAATACCCACCATCGGGCAGACGAGAACCCTCATGTGATAAAACAATCCAGGTTCCAAAATACATTTTCATTGAATGTTTGGTGACAGTTTGATTGGCCCAGTGTTTCTACCACCAAGGCTTAATGGACTTGACTACTTGCATTTTCTTCAAAATTACCTTTGGGAAGTCATGGAAGATGTGCCTCTAAGAGTTAGGGATCACATGTGGTTCATGCACGATGGTGCACCACCCCACTACAGCATTGATGTGAGAATATATCTGAATGAAAAGTTCAGGAACAAGTGGATGGGTCGTGGTGGCCAGCGAGATCGCCTGATTTAAATCCGATTGGATTTTTTGTTTGGGGTAAGTTAAAATCGATGGTGTACCCCTGTAGAGAACGTTGAGCAGCTCAGAGGGCGGATTGAAGATGGGTGCCAAATGATTAGAGAGATGCCTGGGATTTTCGAACGAGTGAGACAGTCGATGAGCCGGCGACTGGAGGACACTTTGAGAATCTCCTTTAATGGTGAAGTTCAGTCACTAGACGTTATTAGTAGGAAGAAAACATACTTTTAATGGTAATGATACTTTAAAGAACCGTAACTATAAGATCTTAATTATTTTTGTTAAATTAACGTAAATAATGATGATGGTGTAAATAATAATGATAAGCTGTAAATAGTTATATCAATAATTTTAAGTTATAAGGGGTGTTTGAATTTGTAATAAAACATAAAAAAATAACGATTTCGAGTTTTTATTTGAGTCACTAGTTCTAATGAAATTTTGTTTTTTTACAAGTTTCTATGGAATTTAACTTTGTGTTTTTTAAAAGGCCGCCATTTTGATATTTACTATTAATAATAAAAGGAACATTACTTTTTTATTTATTATCCGATTTTTGCAAATAAAGTGTCATTCGATTTGTAATAAAAAGGACGATAGTAGGCCTCAATGTTATCAATATACAACTAACTCTTCCAAACAATGTGTGATAAAGAGTTAGATATTCTATGAAACGATTGATGGAGGCTACCACCTTCAGTGAAGAAGTAAGTTTTGCAAAGACAACTTTAAAAGAGACAATTGCTACAATAAATGAAAACTACAACCAGTCGACTTGTATCTCCCAGTTTTAGTTTGGTAAAATAATACCTGCGAGATCTAACTCAATTTCAGTGAACCAGATCAAAGGTTTAATGTGTCGAGACGAGTTAGGAGACTGAACTTACGGTCGGTTGGCTTTACATAAGGTTTTATTGTAATAATTTTACCTTTATAAATAATTAGGATCTCAATTCTGCTAAAAAAATAACTCACAATAGTTTTGGAATTAACAGTTATGAAAATGTAAACTGAATCTAAAGTACCACAGGAAATGTACCAAAATAAGTAACGGCATGGATAAAATATTTATATATATATTATTTGTGTCTTCATATTTAGCATGTTTAACAATTTTTGAAGGGGATCAGTCCAGACACTTGTCTTATTAAATACCACGTTTACGGAATCTAAGATGTAAATACAAGAAAATGTATAATACAGTTGAAAACTTTAAGGAACAGCCCAAAATATGCGAGACTAAAATCGCGCTATGTAAGGAACTCCAGTAGGCCTTTAAAGTTCAAATTCCTAATCATCCTATGTCTGTTCCATTCGTTAAATAAATAGGCCTTTAAAGTTCCAATTCCTAACCATCCTATGTCTGTTCCATTTGTTAAATAAATTTGGGAATAAATAAATACAATTGAAGGATCCAACAAAGCGTTGTTATTTTACATCTTTCACTCATCATTTCCCCATAAATTTTCTTTCTGTCTAGAAATAATTTGTTCCTGGTTTCTCAAGAAAATTTTGGCATTTTTTGGTTCTGGTTGCTAATATTACCTCATATATGTATATAAGAAGCAGTTCTATTGACGAGCATAAATTAATTTAATACGGGAAAGTAATTTCATAATAGAGTGTAATATAAAGAAATGGGTAGCAGGGAATTTTAAGAAAACAAACAAGTTTTTCAAGCAAAGAGCAACAATAAAGACTAAAAAATTGTAGATTATCCAGTGACTATATTTAATTAACAATTATTCAATCACTAGCGATGATGAAAACATTAAAACAGTGAAAATAACAATTGGTTTTACTAACAATAAAAACAGAGTTGTATATCCTTTGACGTATTAAGATTTGAAAATATCTGATAAGTTTGCGTTATTTTTTCATTATATTTTTGGCTTGTAGATTGTGGTTTGTGAGTATTCTTATGGGTGTTGTTGGATAAAATACTATACTGTAGCTGAATTTCGTGTAAGAGAACACATTTTTCTGAAAAACTTACAACAGATCGAACTCAGTTAGATGAAATTTAATTCAAGTCAATTCTCATATCGCATCATATTCTTAGTTTGAATGGATATACCACAACAACGTTACTTGTTTAGGCTGGAATATGTTGGAAAATAAAAGGTTAATGTTGTTCAGGCCGAGTTTGTTGGTCACGTGTTCTTTTATGAGACTTTTTGTTTTTAGCTGCGAAACGAAGCTCTGGGACATAAAATGTGTTTGCCCTTATTAACTGGTTGGTTGGATTTATACGAATTTGTGGTGTTTCTTAAATACTATATTGATGAAAGTCACAAAAAAGGAAGACTCGTTTACACGCTCTTGGTTTTACATATTTATCCTAATGATTTAAAACAGTTAATAGAAATAAATGAGAAAAAATTCGAATGGAATCACTGAATGAAATAAAATTTTATTATTTTTAAACATTAGAAGTCTCAAATACAATAACTAGTTTTAGTGTTTTTATGTACGATAGAATGAAATCGCTGAAATCAGAGCTAATCTTGACTTATTGTAGTACTACGGCTTAGCACCTTGGATATAGCGTTGTGATGGGAGTTGTCATTTTAAGCCTTTATTTAATATCAAAGTAAATAGGTTGTACTGAATGGTGTTGTTCTTCTCGTCTAGAGTTGGGATGAATAAAACATATTTGTGTATATTAAAACAGAAAATCCTATCAACCACTTGTAGGCTATATGGCGGTTAATTTTAATATTCATACGAAACACTTGCGTATTCAAAGTCGTGCATATATTTACATAACATGACTTTGTTCGTGAGACGATTCACCTACTTTACATGTATACGTCTAAACAAGAATACCGTGATAAATCTTTACGTAAAAAATCATATTTTAATTATATTATCTAATTATTCGCCTTTTTTAATTTTTCAACAACAATAGTAATAAAACAATTTGCACTTTTGTCTCTGTTGAGATTTAGTTATTAGATCAAATGTCCTCCTGAACGAACAAAGAAGACTATATCCAAGCTCTACGATTTCAAATTAATCTACGACATTGAAAGTGACAGAACCGGAAAAACTGCAACAAACTTGTAACACAACAAAGTTCCAAGAATCTGCCAGACAATTAACATTGAAGTCCCCACACTCAAACAGCCTTCTTCCCAATACACCCAATACGAGAAATGAAATTAAGAAAGAATGACTTCCCACCAACATCACTCTGCTGCATGAGTTGTGTTACTTGCCGTGCCCGATGGAGATTTGAGATGCATACGGCACGGCACGGCAAGGCGACTTGAGCACCCATGTGTGTTGTGAGGTTGTTTGTACATTTTGTGACACTTTGTACTACACATTTTGCGAGAATAGATGCAGAAGGCGAAGAAGAGGCTGCTGCCAGAGCTGCTATATGGTACCTAATGAATGTAATGGATGATCTCCCTAACAGAGAATCGTAGGTGCATCCCATCAACCAAAAAAGGAACTTGAAACCATTCATTGCAGAACTAAGAGCAGATCCGGAAAAATTGCATAATTACTAGGCTAATCGTTGGAAGTGCACACTGATTTTGACAGGGGCTGTCAAGCGCTGAACGTGGTGTCGACCCTCGCGCATGCGCACATCTTTTTGCCTCAAGCCTTTTGTCCGAAAGACGAAAATTGAAAAGGCAGTACAAAGCGCCGTGCGGCGCTGTTTTGCCTTGCCTTGCCGTGTCCGATGATGTGTGCGGCACCCCCATTTGAAATAATAGAAACCTAGTCGAATAAGGCGCCTTAAGGCAAAACGCCGCTCCGTGCCGTGCCGCATCTGGTGTGCGCCCGGCCGTATAGTGACGATTAATTGTAAATACTTGTTAAAATATAAACAGTGTTAGTGTTAGTGTAGAACCGTGTAGGTTAGAGATGGTGCAAGAAAATCCGATGACGATGACAAACATACTTCTTTAACCAATAAAAAAAATATTAAAGATGGAAAACTTTCCTATTGTTACAAAGAGAGCAATTATAGATGCTGATTTATGTGGTAATTTTATGGTATTTGTTCAGCTCTGACCTTGACAATCTGAGAGACAAGGGAATTGCCCAAGTTATCAGTCAGCAAGGTTTTGTGTTCAAAATCATTATCTGTTTATAATTGGGTTATAGGAATAATGGCAATGGTGAAATATATTTTCCAGGTTCAACAGTTAATAGTCAAGGAAATTATGGACATCACAAGATGCAATATCGTATGTATGTTCGATGCCTCTAAAGACTGTAATAGAAATAATATATTTGCTGTCGGGATGGCGTCCTCCCTCATTGGACTGCTCTTACGATCTAAAGTCCATTCACTCGGGGGCAAAGAAGAGTGTCAAACAAGTCCATAAAACTGGTACTTGTATCTGGAGGCGATTTTTATCTTCTGCTAACATCACTCACAACTGCCAACAGCTACCACGCCAACTCTTCTCCCAACATCCCTACATACAGTAGCTTACAACGCCAACTTTCTGTGGCATGTACCTGGAGGCTATTGTTAAATTCTCCCAACATCCCTACATACAGTAGCTTACCACGCCAACTTTCTGTGGCATGTACCTGGAGGCGATTGTTACATTACATA